TGACTTTCACGACTTTGGACTGCATGTTTTTATTGCACAAATCACATAATTTACGATGGAACAAGACACTGTAAGAGATGTGATGTAGAAAGGAAACTTTTATTGACTAACTCGGTGTAATGCTGTTCCCCAGTTTGATTGTTCTGATGAAGAGGGGATATCGAAATCGGTCGTTCATGTCCTGGGAACGGACACCTGATGAGGGTGACTGAGTCCCGTACTGTTGAGAGAGAGAGAGAGAAAGAGAGAGCAAAGAACCGTCACCTCACACATGACTGCAGTATTCGAGAGTGGGCTGGATCTGTGCTTCGTGCACAGTCGAAGAAGGTAAATTGGAGTGAAGAACCGAATTTGTGATACCGCGAGTGAAAGAGAGAGAGAGTTGGAATCGAAATGAAGTTGACACGGAGGAGAAAGGGACACATTTTTGGGAGATGGACAGGTGGAAAGTTTTTGAATTATAAACAAGAACCCGGTGGTTGGTGCGTTTACTTCGGTTGTGATGCAGCCCGCTTATCAAGTTTGGATCAAGGTATGAGAATTGTCGTTGGCTAGAGACACAGGCGCAGAATACACTGTAATGATGTGAATGTGGCACTATCCTGGTTTGGAAATTCGGTGCTCCATAAAAGACAAACGCACACACACATACACAAGTACATCTCTACTGTTTCCTCATTTGTACTCAAATCTCCATATCTATTATTATAGTTGTCGCGTTGGCATCATGCGTAGGTTTTATTGCGGTTCTTCTGTTAATACGCTCTCCACGTAAACTCCCTCTATCTCCCACACTTTTATTCCTCAGATTTATCGGCGGAGCACGAATCTCTCAAGGTAAGTATATCACATTTTCATCTGAGGACACCATGTGGTTTTCCAAGAAGTTACTCACTCTTCTGATGCTGTTTTTCATCACTGATCCACATGCACCGTTTAAACAACAGTGGAGTGTTACGTCTGCACCAGCACCTGCAAGTGTACGCATTTTATGTTCACCGGTTATGCTCTCTGTTCGAACAATTCGAACAATTCGCTGTGTTACGTACATAGTGCTCCACCTCCAGCCCCGATTCGTTTCACAAAGATGCCATCGTCTGGGAACAATGGATGTGACCCCTAAGCATGCATTTGTTTCGTTGGTTTGTTTTCTTGTGATGCCAGTGTATTTGTGTGTGGTTCGCTTTTTCGAATCAGATGCCACTAGCCACCACCGAGGAATCTTTCTCTGCTCATCCACACCATAAGTCCCGGGGGATAACTGGGACTAATTAACTCGACGTGTTCCAGAGCGCCCAAACCAATTTAACCGACTCGCAGTGGAGTTTGTTGCAAAATATGTTGTGCGCACCGTGCGTGAGGTCTGTGGGAATGTATCACAAATCCCGCCATTCGATACCTCTTAATACAAGTGCATCTCCAGGTTGTGGAAGTTTGGTTACTTGATCACGGGGCAAGCTGGTGTGCATTTTGCAACGTAATGGGTCGTGAAGGGCTTGTTTCACTCTTACATTGTTTCATAAACTAAATTGTAGAGTTTAACAAGTTTGTGATATTCGTACGACAAATCTTCTGTAACAGTTTTTCGAGCAAATCTCACCCTATCCCATCCATCAAAGTCCACAGTTCCGTCGTCGCAACCCACCTTTGAGAGTCCTTTTCGATTGGACGCCTAAACCTACATGTTGCTGCGCTGTAAGCAAGTTAAATCAAAAAACGTATCCGAATATTCTGAGGTCCGTGAATGTGTCCAAAATAGTTATTTTCCACAAAGGTTGATGTCGCATAGCTTGGTGAACAAACGAGAAGATGTAGGAATAGTGTTATGCACAGTTGAACCTTTTTATTGCTGTTAAAATTCTTTTAATTACACACTTTAAGTGCGATGAACAGCAGACGGGGCGAATCCCATAGTCACGAGGATCTGCTGTTCAGTGAGAGAAACCGGTAACCTAAGCCCCAGGACTTGGAGTGGCGAAACCACACAAGACCCCGATAGGTTAGGCGTGGTATTGAACCGGACGACAGCGGAGCTGCCTACCACATTATCAGCGCGTTCGTCTATCGCGGTTAGTTTGCAATGTGACTGCCACACATTTCTATCAAGTTGTTTCGCGTCGACTGCTACCGAGCAACCAGGTGTTCAAGTAGTCTTTCTCTTGGGCTTTGGACGCGCAGTTAAATAACACGCATCAAACCCACTCTCTTCCACAATTAGCTATCTCTTTTGACACGCGAGAAGAGGCGTGCAGACGATTCAAACAAATGAAGTTTTTTAATGCTTGAATTCGTTTGATTATTTCGCTCGCGAAAAGCTGGTTCATTTGCAGTGCTGCAGCCAACTGCTTTGACGGGCTCATCTTTGAAACCTTGTCGAACCAATTTGCGGTGCAGTATTCGATACCATCATGATGGCTAACTGCGCGACATACTATCCCCAGGTACTCTCGTTTTTCTTCGAACTTTTGCAAAATATAAAATTTTGTAGTTTCTTTTCAACATTACAATCCATTTTGATCTGGCTCGGTTTCAACGGCTTGGCTAACGTTTGTGCGTCGACATGAAGTAATCGCGAGTTTCGGTTAAGTTAGGGTGATAGTTGCTGACTAGCTCTGCATTTCCGCTCGGCACAGCACACTCGGTTTAGTTCAGTTTAAACAACCAATAAGCATGCACTTCCATACGTCACTTTTGGTTGCTGTCTTTTTGCGGCCTTGAGCGCCACTGTTTAAACACGGTGAGGGGCAGNAGGGGCAGTTTACCGGTCAAAAAGCTTCGCTAGATGGACGTAGGAGCGGGGTACCCGGAGCTTCCTTTCGACGGTGGGAGAAGTCTTCGCACTTCATTGGACAGCTACCGCCCGCCCAAGCTGGGCAGCCCCCAGCCAATAAAGTGATGTCCTCTCCACGTTCTGTTTGTATCATTGGGTGCATGAGGCTGAGGGCTGATCCCAAAATGCGGACCGAAAGTCAACGCAACAGCGAACAACAATTTTTAACCGAAACCCGAAGGCCTTGCGTGACAGGTCTCCAGAAGCTCCCACGCGCGGGTGCTTCGTTCACGTTCACGCCTCACTGCTTTGTGGGTCAGACTTTTGAGTCGAAGGGTTCGGTTAGGGTTCCCAAAGAAGAACTCCTTCATCGGTGTGGGCTGCCGTGCCCTAAAGTCTTAGGCACCCATTTGGAAAACCCTCCTTGCCATCTGTCTAGTTCTTCCTCTCAATCCAGAATATTTCCAAACACCTGCTGTTTACAAGATCCGTCGAATATCATCCACCGTTTTACGAGTAAGGCCAAACAATCCGGAGTTTGGGGGATTGTTGAAGCCGAAATTCCCTTTTCACTTAGCCACGTTCAATATCCACACAATACACTGGGTGGTCACTGACAATTAGTTGACTGATCATTCGTTGTTCAATATATTGCGAGTTACTACTTGTCATGCTTCGGGTTTTTCGATTCTCATTAATCATTCACGAGGATTGCCTTGCAGCTACTGTTTTCTCTCTCTCTCTCTCTCTCTCTCTGTCCTTCACTCCTTCTTTCGTGCGATATTTTCGGGTGTAACATCTCCAGGACGAAGTGCTCCAGTTACGGTCACAGTTAGCCGCTGCTCAGGATCGCCTCCGAGTAAGTCTTGTTTTGTCAGACGCACTCACTCACATTTTCGGACTTTGAGTTACTTCGCCATTTGGTTGTCACTTACAATATCTTTACTCGTGCTTCCTGAGAAAGCCCTCCCTCTTTGCAATTCCGTGGATCTTGGTCTACTTGTATGGTAGTAAGAAGGTGTTATACGGTCCTGAGAGTGCAGAATAAAAAAAAAACTGTAAAACTTACTGTGCATATGTGTCCGACCTGTTCAACATCATAAATTCCATGTATATTTACGGACTCTGCACGGCAAATCGAGCAACGGACCTCGCAGACAAAACACATGTACTAAGTTCGCATTTAGCCATTTGGCCACGAATAGACAGTAGCGTAGTACTACACTGTTTGACACCTTTCACCTGAATTCTCCCATCCATGTTCCCACCTTGTCACACGTGTCGTCCGTTTTGGAATGACCGCTCCCGCTCTCTCTCTCTCTCTCTCTCTCTCTCTCTCTCTCTCTCTCTAACTATCGCTTGCATTCAGATTCTGGAAGAGCGAGCGGTCGCGGCTGAACAGGCGAAGAAGACAATTCGTGCGGAACAGGACGATCTACTGCTACTGATGCACGATCAAGATTGCAAACTGGAACGGATGCGGGCTCAAATCCGACAGCTGGGTGGTCAGGTTCGTCAGTCAGTTCACGACCGATTGAGGATGATAAGCGTTGCTCAGGCTGCGTGCATTACTGCCTCCTTGTGCTAAAAAAATTGCTGTTACTCGTAATATATCCACAATCTTATTTGTATTTTATTACTTGGATCTATGTGAACTGCAAACGGCCAAATCACGTTTCACATAAAACACTCCTGATCAGTGATCGATTAGTACAACACTTGATTTGTGTGTTACGCGACTGCATTACAGAGCGCTTTAATGTGCGCGCAAAAATACTACTCACAAAAGTGAATAGCACAACAGA